AAGGCAGCCAGGGGAGGCCGCCGTTGCTGGGCGGCAGCAGGCAGTGCTGGCCGGGGGCCTTGGGACCTCCCCCGGGCAGGGGAGGGGAAGCGAGGAGGTCTTGGTGGGGCCAGGCTCTGAGCAGGGCGGGGAGACAGGCAGCAAGGGTGGGCCTAGGCGGGAGGAAGATGCGGCTTGGGTTGCGCTGGGGCTCCTTTCACAATAAGAGCTGGTTAGGAGCTGAGCGAGCCTGGCGTTGCGCCTTGCTGCTCCCTGAGCTCCTTCTGCCCTCACCTCTGGCTGCTCTGTGGAGTGGCCTCCAGGGTCCCCTAATGAAACGTCTTCCCTGAAGCGCAGCTCTTGAGCTCCCCCTGAAAAGCAGAACTTGCCAGCCCAAGTCAGCAAGAATGGCTGAGATTGCCCTTCAGCCATGTATACAAACCACCAACTCTTGCTTCATGTTTTTCTGAAGATCCTGGCCTTGTGCAGGGTGGTTAGAAACAAGAAATGCTCCCCAAAGTTAAGGATTTTCATGTAATTGTGTGAAACCTGAGGATTGAGGCTACATGTTCATTGAACTCATGAGCATGTCCTGAAGGTGAGGAAGGCTCAGGCGGTCATCTTACCACTAGTACAAGAAACCAAGACTGGTGCCTTTGTTCCCAGCACATCTAGCTTTTCTTGTGCTATCTCCCCATGACTGTCAGAGCTCCCGTGGCTCGCAGTTGCTCTCTACAATCAGAGACCAAGGAACAGACCTAAAGGAGTTATTTTGGGGGTTTTGTTTTGTTTTCTCCTGAAAAGAGGCACCAGTGCCAAAGACAGAGTATTCTTCCACGATGACATCCAAAGGGATGTTGACAAGCCTGTGGAGAGTCGTTTCTGAAGGAAACTTAGGCTTGTCTCCCCAACGAATTTTGAAGAGTTGGCTACTCAGAAATATGCAGCTACCAACATCACAAAAAGTCAAAAGCTAGACAGATATTGAAAATATGAGCCCCTGTTAGAGCTGAGAAAATATATTCTTCCTCCAGAAGCTATCTAGAAAATGATATTCTCCAAAGAGCTTCGTTTCAGGCAGAGGAGAAAATGAGAGTCATGAAAAGCGCTTCAGAAGACATGAAAAGCAAAGGATAGGAGAACTGCAGCTGTACCTGCAAGTATTGATTTCATGCTCCTGAAGGCTGTCCCTGAAGACAGCACAGGTTGCAACACCCTGTTCATATTGACAGGTGCTGCTGTGTGCAACACAGTCAAGGTCCATGAAGAATCATAGGCAGGTCAGCTAGCATCTGTCTCACACCTCATTTATCTGCTCCATACATATCTCCATGACCCTGTCCATCATCAGGACCCTCTACCTTACGCTTATAATACTAAGAGCCAGAGCTTTGACAGATATTAGTCAAAACCTAGTTAAGCTGCTATCCTCCTGTCAGTCATCTGTACAATGAGAGGCCTTCTGAGCTGCTTCTAATCACCAACATCAAGCTCCCTTCACCATGTCCAAACTGGTATCCTCCGAACTGTGCAAACAACAACTTAATCAACTAATTTCAAAGTGTGAAACACATCGTACCAGGATCTTGTAAAAACTTTTTTTTTTTTTGGTTTGATTATCGATGGACATTGCCTTTAACCATGCCAGAGTTTAATCATCCACATAATTGTCATGGAAGCCTGTGAGATGATATAGAGTGATTTGTTTCTGAGAGGTTGACAACCATTATATCCATGACAGCATCTTGCATTCAGGAAGCAATCCAGGTATGCTAGAACCATAAACAGGAAAACAGATAGAAAACATATCCACTTGAAGTGGCCCATAGTCATAGTAATCATAAAGGACAGTATTCCAATGCTTTCCAGAGTTTCAGTAGTAACTACCATTGCTATAACTTTTTTTTTTTCTTCTCTAGCAGTGCTTTAGATATAATGCTTGGTCCATGCCAAAGCCAAATGGCGACTGTACATCTACACTGTATCATTTAGATAAAATGATATAGTGACCTATGGGAGATGAAGATGATAGGGGAAGACTGGGGATGAGGTCTGATATTCAGAGTATGCTCTTTGCTCTTTCCCCTCACAGAATGGCTAGTGCTGTGAAACTATATTCCTTCAAGGGTATTCCCTCTTCTCTGCCCTGGGATTTACAAGTCACAGAAACAGACTGCCAAGGTGTTTTTGCTGCTAGGGGAAAGTCCTCCTATTATAGTCCTGAGCCTTCTTTTGGAGCAGGTTTCCAAGGAAGTCCCTGTCTTTCTCCACAGCAGCATAAGCTGCAGGAGTGGCATGTTTCATCGGGAAAAGTGATAAGCGACTGGATGGCACAAGCCTGTCTGTGTGAAGCTCAGGCCTTGAGAGTAGTGGTGGAGTGTCCCAGAAAGTCAGTGAAAGACCAGGCAGGGTAACCAGGCCAAAGGGTTGGAACCAAGCTGTCCAGGGAAAGCAGATCAGTATTTACAGATGAGTCTGGTCTGTCACTCTGGTTGGGGGGGTGCTCTGTAGGGCAGTGGTGTAACCATAAGAGGCCGAGGAGAGGTATTTCTCCATCCTTGCTGAATGTGTTTTTGGGCTGGAGAAGTAAGTATCCTTCCCATCGTCTCCTTCCCAGTGGATGAGGGAGTTCACACATCATCATCATGATGTCATACATGTTCCTAGGCTGTGGAGCAGCTTTTGTTCCCTATCTGCTTCAGTTACTTTACTTGACATTGACATTGTGTAGACCTGCTGTCCAGCAGTCTTGTTACCTAGCTGAGTCAAGCAGGCAGCAAACAGGTGCTAGTTTTAGAGTTCTGAGGTGCAACATATAATCTGCCCATAAGCAATGAAAGGAGCAGGCCTCCTCTCTATCCAGCACTTCCTAGATATCATATTTCTCTAAAGAGGATTGCAGAGTATCTGAAGGGAGACACTACCAGTAGGAGCACTGGAGCAGGATTGAGGGCATGACTGGCCAAATGAAGGTAGATTTGCTGGACATGTATGAGAGATGGGCTGCTCCAAATAGGCACATCCCAAACTGTCACTCTTTGCTTTACCATCAGAAGCCCTGCCCCCCTGATTGTGTCATCAGAAAAAGAAAACAAGCAAACAAACACAACAAGAAATAAAGAATGATTTGCCTTGAAAGTGCAACTGGGAAGTTTCACTAGTCCCTTCTGGATATAAGATTATTTGTCAAGATTTTGTCTGACAGTGCTTTGAAAGTGAGAGAATTCCTCTCATCAGTGAGCTGTTGGTAACAGGTCTTCTGGATAATAGCTTCTAGGGTTTGCTAGCTTCTTTGTGGATGTGGTCTCAGAGCACAAGCTTCCCTTGTGGTGCGACAGTAAACCAGCACAATCTAAAGACCTTCTGCACAGGAGAAGAGTTGCCCAGTATGTTCAACATGTAAAGGAAAAATCTCAGAGTTAATATCCCCCAGTTAATCCAAATTCTAATGTGTGGGGCTATATATTGTTTTTGCAGAAGCACTATTTATGTATTTATGTGATTTTTTTTCAAAGATGTTTGATGAATAGGTTCTCTAGCCTTCAATACACTTCCAGAAATATCCTGAGGAAGCTTCCTTCATTCTTTTTAATCCTCATTCAACACGCTTTCATGTATGAGCTATTTCCCATGAGTTCCATTCAAACAACTTATTAGTTTCTTTGAAGTCATTCATAAATTCTAAAGGAAAACACTGAAATGGTGTCTTACTGGGTAACCCCTCCAAAGCATTCCCCTGAATCCATGCTTGCAAGGTCAGTGTCAGTATCAAAATTCCAGCAATTCAGCAGCAGAGGGCAGCAGTCACCGAACTAAGAACCTATTTTCGTGACAGGGACTGTGTAATCTGACTTTCTATTCCCTCCCTCTGCTTCTCCCCACCTCTCAGAAGGGGCTAAGGGCTTCCAGTTGCTCACAGCTCTGGAGCTGCGGCTGGGAGAGCAGCGAGGATAGGAAAAGTTGCGGGCAACGCCTGACGAGCACATGGACATGTGAGTGCAGCCAGTTTGGGGGAGTGGGGTGCTCAATTGTATCTTTCTGGAAAGGGAACTGGAGGATTAGACCTTTCCAGGAAGAGGAAGGAGTCAAAAAGGCCAAACTCATGCCCTGTTTGCCTTCCGCTAAACTGCTGCCAGCAGATAGGGTTAAAGATCTTCCTGTCTGATCATCTCATGAGATGTGAGTAGTGAGTGTGCTTTTGAGGAATGCCAATAGTCCCATTTCCTAGAGGGTAATCTGCAGAATGAGGGGGAAAAAAAAAAAAAAAAGGTCAAAAAAGGTCATGCATGGACCTTTTTTCCCTAAAAGAGGATTAGCTGCGTGGAAGCTTGTGCTGGAGTCACTGAAGGATTTCTGCTGAAAAAAACAAAACTTGAGATCTTTAGACCTTGACCAAATGATCTGGACAGGGCCTCTAGAGTAAAAATGAATAGAAATGCCTCCCCTGGTCCAAAGCCAAAAGGAACCAAACTGATAATTTTTCCTCCCGCTCATCCTTGACCCAGTCGCAAAGGATCCACCCCATGACTGGGGGGGACCAAGAAGCCTTTGCTCGGGGAATTCACTTCAAGCTGCTTCCTGGTTTAATGAATCTCCTTGACTGGATCAGTCCCTTGCTGGTACCTGGGTAGTGCTGATGTCTCTGCTGATTTTAGCAGTCTTGCTCATGAGTGACACAAGCCAGAAGTTGGAGCTACAGTCAGGCCTGCCGTGTTTAGATTCCATTAGACAGTGTACTTGTGAAGTCTGTGATTTTGGATGACCTACTTCTGCACTATGTTGTAATTTACTTGCCATCTTCACAGGTACCTCCATTTTTTTCTGGCTTCTTCCCTCTTTTTTGGAGTGATTAGTTCCAATCCAATCCCAAGAAGGCTTTTTGGGGAGATTAGATCCCCCAATTATCCTAGGCCATATCCCAACAACAACATCAGCAACTGGGATATCTTCGTTCCAAAAGGCTACATGGTGAAGCTGACCTTCAGACATTTTGACCTGGAGCCATCTGAGTCTTGCTTCTATGACTATGTTAAGGTAAGGGCAATAGATACCTGGGCCAATAAGTGGATGGAGATGGGAATCTAGTGTCCACTATATGCAATTACTTTTCACTGGCTCCTGATATCCTCTCACTTTTCCCACAGAGGAAAGAGAAGGTATTAAAAATAGTAATGACTGGAGTGGGTGCTAGAGACTTGTGGCTGGGTAAGAGTGATTCGTGGAGCAGTGTGAATCTCATGAGGCTACAATGATTTCCCCTTTGCCTTGGCAGATCACAGCAGACAAGAAGAACCTAGGCCGATACTGTGGCCAGGTGGGGTCAACCACAGGCAATCATCCTGGAATAAAGGAGTTTTTATCTAAGGGGAACAGGATGCATCTGGCATTTCACTCTGATTTCTCCAACGAAGACCATGGCACAGTCATTCCATACAAGGGCTTCCTGGCCTATTACCAAGCTGTGGGTTAGTAGGAGATACCCTCAACATAAAGACAGGAGTCCATGTGGCTCCAAACATATTTTCTTCTTGTCAAGCAACCAAGGGGAAAGCTTAAACACAATTGGATCTCTATGTATTTTCATTAGATAAGTTTATCTCTTTCCTCCCCTTATTCCTGCATATCTTGTCTCTTTAGATCTAGATGAGTGTGCCCCTAACAATGCTGCTGAGGAAGATGAGAGGCCTCTATGCCAGCATTTCTGCCACAACTATGTGTCTGGCTACTTCTGTTCTTGCCGGCCTGGCTATCAGCTTCAGAGTGATAAGCACTCTTGCAAAGGTAAACTAAAAGTCTGGATAAACTGGAAGATTGTAACTTGAAAGATTGCAAATTGAACTGTAAATTGAAAGACTGGATAAACTAAAGAGGGTTCCAGGATGGGAACTCTTCAGCCGGTAAGGGTGGGAGACCTCCAGACTATAAGGAGTAATTGACAGGGAAACAGAAGGCCCTGTTGTGACCTCTACTCTCCTCCTCTCCACTAGTTGAGTGCAGCAGTGAGTTGTTCACAGAGCTATCTGGGTACCTGAGCAGCCCTGAGTACCCCCAGCCCTATCCTGAGGACCTCCGGTGTAACTACAGCATCCGTCTGGAGAAGGGACTATCTGTCATTCTCAAATTCTTGGAACCCTTTGAGATTGATGAACACCAGCAAGTCCACTGTCCTTATGACCAGCTCAAGGTATCAGAATTCCAGCAAGTCCACTGTCCTTATGACCAGCTCAAGATATCAGAATTCCAGATGAGCAAACTCTGCTTTCAGCCCTGCTGGCAGGCCCAGACAAATATGGTGCAAACCCCACCACTGGAATAAGAAATCAGAGATCAATACAAGGAGAATGTGTCAGCATGAAGCACTGAGGTGTTATTTTGTCACTCCTTCTATGTGCTTAATTACCTTTGTCCTGAGGTCAGAGACCCTGGGTCACAGGCCTCAACATCCCCAAATAGGCCGAATAAATCCTCGTTCTTCCTGTTTGATCTCCCTTTGCTGTAATCTGAGAATTCAGTAGGTTAACAGGTCTAATTCCCATGATAAGGGAGAATCAGAGCTTGTTCTCATCCCTTTGTTCTGATCTGATAATGCAGACATCAGCAAAGAGGGGTCATACAATCCACTCTGTTCATCATCATAGACACTATAGCAAACTTGGGTTGGAATGACATGGGAATACAGAAGCAGAAATGTATGTAAGTATCCTTCTGTCTCTGATTTGTGTTTCATCAACAGATCCAAGTGAAAGGGAAAGAAATTGGCGAATTCTGTGGCAGGGCATCACCTGGAATTATTGAAACCAGAAGCAATGAGGTGGATATACTCTTCCTCACTGATGAGTCAGGGTTTAGCCGTGGCTGGAAGATCCACTACACCTCAGAGAGTAAGAAATTTTTGTTGTTGCTGTTGTTTTGGTTTGACTTTTTTTTGGTGGTGGTAGTGGTGGTGTTTTCCCAGATGCTAATGTAGCCTATGCCACTTGTTAATAGCCACATAGCCATTCATTTCATCCCACTCTCTAATAGAAATCCGGTGTCCACAGCCTGTGCCACAGGATCAGTTTACTATCATCAGAGACCTGCAGCCTGTGTATCGATTTCAGGACTATTTCATTGTCAGCTGCGAGACTGGATATAACCTTGTAAAGGTGAGTTCACTTGTCCTCTTCCGTCAGCCACATTCTGTCTTATCTTCAGTTTGTGTAACCTTTCAGTAAAGCTTTCTTTGGAGTGTTCACTCCTTGCAGCCTCTTTCAACGTCTGTTTTCTTTCTTCTGGAGACTTTTTTTCCAGTGTTTTCCTAGCCTCCTCCCATATGCATCCCCTGTCTCAGTCTCACCCAAGCACAAGCCGTAGTAGAAGTAAGATCCCAGGACATACCAGGGAACAAAAGTTATATGAAGCAGAAAATGATACTTGCCTCTCTTGCCATCATATTCCCAGGACTGGGTAGAACCATAGTTTTGTCATATTTTAAAGTTTGCTGGATGCTGCTGTCTTGACCTGCTATGAAAAAATTATAACCTATGGCAAATGTAGAATGGAGGGAAGGCAGCAAGGGGTAAAGTCAGGATATGGAACAGACAGCAGAGGGGAAACTGAATAACAGTGGAGTGATGGGCAGATGGGATAATATTTTCATGTGAGGAAGGGAATGTCAGGTTGTATACAGCCAATGATAATGCTTTTCTCTCCCATGCAGGACAATCAGAAGCTTCTGTCTTTCACTGCGGTCTGCCAGGCTGATGGGACATGGCATCAATCTATGCCCCACTGTGAAAGTGAGTGAACGGAGAACGGGGATTATGTACCCTGCCCTGGGTTATCCCTTAAAGAACAGATAGGGGTGTCCTCCTGTATGACTCAGTTTGTCAGGTTGGAAGGATCCATGGAATTCATCTAGACAAGTAGCCCGCTGTTGACTTATGTAACACATGTATGCTCCAGCAAAAATCTTAATTCTTTTTTTTTTTTTTGCCTTACAAAATTGCATAGAACATTACTAAAGTATGGGTACAGTGTTGTAGCATCTAAAAGAAAAAGATAGCCAGTTTAGGATCAGTTTTGGAACTGTCCCTCTCCATCAGCTGTACTAGCCGGTCCTCTGCATCCTGCACATTATGTCCACCAGTCAATTTCAGCCTAAATGTACAATCAATAAGTTTGCCTTTGATCTATCTCCTGTTGTTTTTGTTTGTTTGTTTGTTTTGTAGTTGTGAACTGTGGCAAACCTACAGAACTCACCAATGGGGCAATCAATTATGTTACCAAAGCCGAAAGCAACATCTACCAGTCAGTTATCACATACAAGTGCAATGAGCCATACTATCACATAGTCACCAGAAAAGGAGGTGGTGAGTCTTAAAAGCCATCTTAGATCTCCAGGTAAACTTGCCCAGGTCTTCATTCCTCAGACTTGAGGATCTTTCTTTCCTCAGTGAAGGCTCATTAGTGTTTCCGTGGTTCTGCAGTGCAGAACCTGAGGTCAGTTATCTCAGCCTATTCCCATCCTGCTTTGCTCCCATAATCCTTCACATCCCTCTCCCAGGTATCCTTAAACATTTATGCAACTTTTTTTATTATTATTATGAGCATTGGAACAGGTTGCCAAGAGAGGTTGTGGAATCTCCTTCCTCGGAGATATTCAAAACCAACTTGGACGCAATCTTGTGCCATATGCTCTAGGTGACCCTGCATGTGCAGGCGGGTGGGACTAGGTGATCTCCAAAGGTCCCTTCCAACCTTGATGATTTTATGATTCTTGCATCTGTAGTCATGATCCATTCTTCTTTGGTGGATTTCACTCTTTCACTGAAATCCAGCAAATAGTATGCTGGATTCACCAAACTTGTAAAACCTAACGAATTGATTGCACAAATGTAGTATAGTACAGATACACTAAATTATCTCATCCTCCACTCCAGTGTAATGTTCTTCACTCTGTTTATAATGTTGTTCAGCACTAGAGACATCTGAGGGCTAAGTAATGTACACATAGATAAATTTGGTTTAATGTAGCAAGTCAGAAATTTAAGGGAACATTCAAAACCACTCGCTGGCTTTCTGTTTGATGATACAGGAACTTTGTTTACAAGAAGAGAATAGAGCCCCTGATTTCCTTGCCCTTCTGCTCACTTAGCTTGTACAACAACAACAACAAAAAGGGGAAAAAAAAAAAGTAGGATTTTGACCTAAGCAATTTCTGGACAGGCAGATATGTGCAGCGTGTCTGCACGTCAGTTTCTATGCCAGCATAGACAATTATACAGCATTCTTAAGAGAGATTACACGCTATAGTATTGGTGGCAGGAAGAATCAGATGAGTGTGAGCAAATATATGAGTACTTTAAGTTGGTGCTACTATCAAAATTTGCTTATACTTGGACTGAGTTAAACTTCTTGCCAAAAGGTCAGAGCTCTATCTTATCAGAAAGGATCAAGAGCAAGTAAGTATCAGCACCACGGTGTGCAAAATTCTGATGGGGAGGTTATTGCAATTTAGTAAACATTCAAATAGTAAACAGTATAGTAAGAGCATTTAATAAAGTATAAAATTAGTTATATAGAAACTATTTTTAGTCACTAGTATTTTAATATACTATACAAACTTTCTAAGAAAAGCTAGAATGCTAGAGGTATTGGGATTTGTATTGAGACGCAACATGCACATTAGCTGAGCAGCATAATAGCTCCAGAATTTTATACTGAATGTGTCCAGTAAATGCTTCATCTTACTGCTGTTTCTGGAACTATCCAAGTTTTCTCTTCTCTGCAAAATGCAGAGATCAGGAAGTTCTGTATTTCTTCTCTCTTTTGAGCTAAATAATATCAAACAGTGCTCTGTGAACTGGAATGACTAGACTAGAATGAAGTTAGACTTCTCTCAGCTGCCTCCTTAGGCTTTTCTTCCATAGAAGAAGTGACTGAACTTTTCCATTCTTGACCTGAAACTGAGATGCTATCCCAGAGGGAAACATCTCAAACTGTACTGCAAAGGCCCTTACAATGGAAGGGCTTGGTGCAATATGTGGGATATCCTGGAAAGACCCATTCTTTCTTCCCACCCCACATCTGCAGGCCTGGTTCTCATTCATTTCTTGTTCCTTCTTCCAGACAGATTCGTTTGCTCCCCTGAGGGAGCCTGGGTGGATCAAGATGGCCAAGTGAAGACTCCTGTCTGTTTGCCAGGTCAGTAAAAAACTAACATTGTCTGGTGAGTAGCAATGTATGCTGGAAACTAGAATAAAGCAGAGAGGGCATGCAGGGAGGAAGGTGAAGAAATCATATTTTTAATGGTGTCACTGAGGGAGGACAGGGAAATCCATCCAAGAAGGTAAAAATAACATAAAGTTTGACAGCAAAGAGTGTAGGAAGGTAAGAGACCAGGCGGTGTAAGAGAGGGTGTGACAATCTCTTTCCTTCTCACTGCAGTGTGTGGCAAGCCGGTCAAGCCTGTTACTGAATTCCAAAGGATATTGGGTGGCCATTCAGCAAAGCAGGGCAACTTCCCTTGGCAGGCTCTGACTAGAATCCACGGACGTGCAGGTGGCGCACTCCTGGGTGATCGCTGGATCTTGACTGCTGCCCACCTCTTCTTGCCCAAAGGTGCAGGAGAGGTCAATATAAGCCTGGATGAGGTGGCAGAGGATGTTGAGGTTTTCCTTGGCCACACAGTGGTGGACGAGCTCCGCAAGTTGGGTAACCACCCTGTACGCAGGATCTTTATCCATCCAGACTACAGCACTAAAGATGATTACAACTTCAATGGAGACATTGCATTGATAGAGTTGAAACACCCAGTAACCCTGGGCCCCAACATCCTGCCCATCTGTCTCCCAGATGCTACCAACACATCATTCTATATGGATGGGCACATGGGCTATGTGAGTGGCTTTGGTGTGGAAAAAAACTTCATTGCAAACCACTTGAAGTATGTGAGGTTGCCAGCAGTTGCCCGGAAGGAGTGTCAGAGATGGTTAGATAGTTTGAACAGTGAAACACCTATGGTTTTCTCTGAGAACATGTTCTGTGCTGGCTCCCTCCTAGACAAAAAGGATACCTGCCAGGGGGACAGTGGGAGTGTCTACACAGTATTTGATACAGCAAGCGGTCAATGGACAGCTACAGGCATTGTTTCTTGGGGCATTGGCTGTGGCCAAGGTTATGGTTTCTACACCAAGGTCCTCAACTATGTGGACTGGATCAAAGACATAATGAGGGAGGATAGGCTCTGAATGTTGCTGTCCTATGAGCTGAAGAATCACTGGTATCATAGGTTTCCAGACACAGCAAATCCTTTTTGAAGCTCTTGATGATGTCTTAGAGGCTTCTCAAACACACAAACCATGTCAGCTTCATCATGAACACTTCGGAAAGCCATCACATTGATTGATGAATTATTGGTGATATCAAATCTTGCCAAAGCTGCTGTCTCATTGGCTGAAGCCTTTGTGGACGTTCTAATTCTTTCAAATACAATTTTACTACTTGATGTAGCAATTTTTCTATTGGATGTAGCTATTATCAGCAATGACATCCAATGTGCTGTTGTCTGAAGTGCTGATATCAAAAGGCTACTGCAGTCTAATTCTCCGTAGTTTGGGAAGGCCTGCACCAGGCCTTCTTGAAGGACATTGTATTTTGTGTTGAGTTCAGTGTGCATATATGTCTGTTGGCATCAGTGAGATTCTATCAATATTAAAATCACTGATATAGAAACCAGATGTGTTGTGTTTTTCTCTTTCTTGTTTTTAATAACTACTAAATATTCACTGCCACCAAAAGTAACTTGCAGACTGTAACTATATAGAACATTCTTTACCTACTACTAAAGTGTTTCCTGGTCTATAGTAGCCACATAGCAGTTGTTCAACTGGCACAAAAATATCATTAGAAATAACTCTATACTCTGAAACTCTATGTGGCTTCAGGGGGAGGAGAGAGGGGAATGAAAATAAAATGTCTATGTAAAGCCATTTCCAAAAATAAGGTCTTCATCAAAGACTGGGGGGAAGTCCAGAGAAAGGAAGACTTTCTCTTGCTGGAGGAGAATCAGGAATGCTTTAGCAAACTGTATAAACACAAGTCCATGGATCCTGATGTGTTAAACCCAAGAATGCTGAAAGAGATGGAGGATGTCATTGCTAGGCCACTCTCAACGATCTTGGAAAGACTATGGCAATCAGGAGAGTTACCTGAGAACCAGAAGAAAGCAAATGTCACTCTGATCTGCTAAAAGGGTATGAAGGAAGACCCAGGGACTTGGGGCTGGTCAGCCTCACCTCAATCTCTGGAGGGAAGGTAATGGAGCAACTAATCCTGGATAGTATTCCAAGCACATGAAGGACTAGAAGGTAACTGGAAGTTGTTAACATGATTTTACAAAGGGGAAATCATGTTTAACCAACCTGATAGCCTTCTATGATGAAATAACTGTCTGGGTAGATATAAAGAGACCAGTGGATGTCGCCTGTCTTGATTTTTGAAACTGTCTCATATAACATACTCATAGGCAAGCTCAGGAAGTAAAGGCTAGAGAAGCACGCAGTGAATAGATTGAGAACTGTCTGAAAGACTAAGGTCTGAGGGTTGGGATCAATGATGCAAAGTCCAGTTGGAGGCCAGTAACTAGGAGTGTACTCCACGGGTCAATATTGGGTTCAATACTGTTCAATTTATTCCTCAATGACCTAGATGAAGTGACAGAGTGCACCCTCAGCAAGTTTGTTGGCAATACAAAACTGGGAGGAGTGGTCAATGCACTAGAAGACAGTGCTGCCATTCAGAGTGAACTTGACAAGCATGAGCAGCCAGGAGCCTCATGAAGTTCAACAAAGGGAAATGCAGAGTCCTGCATCTGGGGAGGAATAATCTCATACACAAGTACTGTCTAAGGGCTGACTGCTGAAAAGCAGCTCCACAGAGAAGGACCTGGAGCTCTGGTGGATAGCAAGTTGTACCTGAGCCAACGCAGCCAATAGTATCCTGCACTATATTAGAATAGCGTTGCAGGCAGGTCAAGGGAGATGATCTTCTGCTTTTACTCAGTCCTGGAAAGGCCTCATCTGGAGCAGTGTCCAGTTCCAGGTTCCAAAGTATGAGAGAGATAGAGCTACTGGAGTGCATTCAGTGAAGGACTATTAAGAGGATTAAACAACTGGAGCATCTGTCATATGAGCAAAGGCTGAGAGAACTGGGACTGTTTAGTCTTACAGAAAGAAGCAAAGGGAAAGCTAGAGGGTGAGGGTAGGAGTAGGGGAATGTTATCAGTGTGTGTAAATACCTGAAGGGAGGTAAAGAAGATGGAGCCATCTCAGTGACCCAGATGACAGGGCGAGAGGCAATGGGCACAAACTGCAACACAGGATGTTCTGTTTGAAGATAAAGGAAAAAAAATGTGTACTATGAGCATGATTGAGCACTGGGACAGGTTGCCCAGAGAGGTTATGGAGTCCCCATCTTTAGAGATATCCAAAATCTGACTGGACATTGTCCTAGACAGAGGTGACCAAGTTTGAGTGGTGGCAGAAGGGGGAGGTAGATCATCTTCAGAGGTTCTCAACTATTCTGTGATTCTGTGAAAAACAAAACCCACTGAACATCCAGGAGGTTACAGTTTCTCGGGAATGCAGTACATAGTTACTGGCTCAAAAGTAAAATAGCAGTTTGCATGCTTAGGAATTGAAGGTTCTTGACCTGTGTGCAGCAATCTATATGAAGTCTCCCAGGTGCTATGCTGGCCCTTCTCACCATTGTCACAGAAAAAAAAATAGGCTGAAAGAACCTCTGATGACAACACGACTAATTTCAAAGCTTAAGGACCTTACCTAGGCCAGTTCTGGAGATCTCCATGGATGGAGATTGCCCAGCCTTCTGGGGCACAAGTTCCAAGGCTGAAATACGCCCAAAGGAAGAAAATCTTTATGTCCAATTGGAAATTCCCTAATTTCAATCTGTGTGTGCCATCTCTTGGCCTTCTGCTGTTCACTTCTTTAAAGAATCTGTCTCTGTCTTCTCTCTAAGACTCCTTTAGGGACTTGAAGAGAACAATAAGAACACCCCTTAGACTTCTCCTTTTCAAGTTGAACAAATGCAGCTCCCTCAACTTTTCTTCACATACCTTGTGCATCAGTCCTCTAACCATCTAAGTGCAAAGCTACCTATGAGGAATTCAGGACTCGAAGTAGCACTCTGGAGCAGAAGACATCCCTAAAGCGTATTGAGTAAACTTCTCCCACAACAGTGCCTTCCCTAATTCAAGCAATCTTTATTTCTTATCCAACACAACAAAGTCTGAAAAATAAAGCCGTAAGGGCTGGTGAATGTGTGAAGTTTAACGATGTCTCTTCTGCTCAGCTTGATTCAGAAGTCTGTAATCCTTATTGCTGGTAATGGTTGGTTACTGAGATGCAACCTCAGAAGAACCTCAGAAAAATACTCCTCAGCAGAGAGGTGAGGTACCACAATTTACAGCTTAACAAAAGCTTTGGAGTTGGTAGCGCAGTGGGTGTTACATAATTTGACACTTGATTAGGCATTCTCAAGGAGAATTAACTCAAGTCTGAGGAGAAAGGCAATTTGCACATGGTAAGTAGATTTGGACATTCTTTAATGCTATTATATATTCTGAATGATAAAGAAATACAGAAGAGAGAAGCCAGGCTTGGAACCTTCCCTGGGAATCAACAAGTATTCTCTCTTTTCTTCACTGATATGTTTCTATTAGGTGGAGCATGACTACATTTTCTCCAAGTGGGAAAAGATGGGATTAAAAAAAAAAAAAGTGAGAGGAAGCAGAAGGAGTTTCTTTATTTATAGTAATATTGTCCTCTTCTGCTGCTATGAGTAGAGGAAGAAAGAGGAATTCCATTCCTAGACATAATGACAGTAGGAGAGACTGATATATATTCCTGACTCTCCATTCAGCAGAGACAGTGACTTTGTTGGCATGTTATACACAAAATGTGAAAAGGACCCAAGTCAGCCTTCCTACCTCAACATGTGACACTCACATCTAGGAAGTATGATAGTGCTTAAGGGAGAAAGAGCTAATCCTGCCACGTTTCTGGGTCCTCATGCTTGCTCATTGTCTCTGTAATCCAGTCCAAATAACGCACCACTTTTGTGTAAAGACCAAAGGTACCACATCTTGGTCCCCAAGAGATCAGTCCAGCAACATAGTATCGGCTCTCATCAAGGGGATCTGGGATGGCATAAGCTCCACCACTATCCCCCCTACAGCTGTCCTTGCCACCACCAGCACAGATCATATTGTCAGTGAATTGGTAAGCACTGGAGTCAGCAGAGCTCTCTGGCTTAACAGAACGGCATTGATCCATGGTCACCACAGGAATCTGGGCTTTCCAAAGCCAAAGAGGAAGTTTTCCTTTCTCTTTCTGGCCCCAGCCAGCAATATAACCCAATGTCCCTTCTTGCAGTTCGTATTCAGGTGATTTACCAGGAAGACAGAGGGGTAAGATGTTTGGGCCCATCTTCACAGGTTCTCTCAGCTTCAGTAGTGCAATGTCATTATCAAAATCAGTCCTAGTTTCTGCAGGCTGATTCTTCCAACCAGGATGGATGAATGAAGTCTCTGGAATCAGCCGTGTGCCCTCCCAGCGCAAAGATTCTCCAGCAACATTGATTACACCAGCATACATATCAGGCTTATCGGATTCCTCCAGCACATGGGCTGCAGTCATTACCCATCTTTCAGAGATGAGCACCCCACCTCCTCGTGGGTTTGCAAAATAGACCTGCCAGGGAAAGTTGCCTTTTGCTGCAGGTGTTCCCCCAAAAATCTTTGATGTCTCCTGGATACGTTTACTAGGCACCCCACAAACTAGGAAGAAAAGAAAAAAAAAAGGAATGAAATGGGAGAATTTGCATTTACAAGCTCTTTAGTGCTACTAAAAAATTCAGAGTGCCCTTCTCTCTGTCTTCTATAAATCTTTTTTTTTTTTGGCTCTGAATAATTAATATTTTGTGCCTAAGATTTTACAGCTAATGTTTACAGAAAATATCAAGAAAGTTCAAGCAAAAATACTGTCAACACTCAATATAAGTTGAAAATGCCCATTTGCAAATCTTGTTCTGGAAAGAAAGGAGAACATTCACAACTGCTGTCAGCCAACCAGCACAGAGTGTGTCAAAGCTCACAGCTTCATTCCATTCTATTTAGCACGTGCTCTGGTGAATATGTCCTGTAGGCAAATGGATTGTCTTTGAAAGAACATTTGCTTAAGTTCTTAGAAATCCAATTTTACTATCTAAAAGTATTCATGTCCGAACTCCAGATCATTTCAGGTTAAGTATTCCAGTTTATATTTGTCATTGACGTTTTACCAGTGTTCCTCCCCATTCTTTCAGTATATAGAATCTTAAAGCACTGGGTTAATAAAGATCTCATCTGTGAGTCTCACAGATGCAGAGGTGCTGTGTGATCTTAGAGTAAAAACAGACAGTAAGATTTAGTAAAATGAGAGGCAAAA